CCCCCTCCGCTGTCACCTTCCCCCCCCTGGACACGTCTTCTGACTTCACCTGAGTTCTTTCTTCTACCGCTTCCTGTCCGGGAAATGTCGTCGAGAGCGTTGGTGTTACGCAAGTTGTAGTTTTGTTCCCGGGTCTGATCAGGAGGCGGGCGGGGCGGGGCGGGGCGGGGAGGGGTCGGATCACAGCCTAGAAACTGACCCTGAGGAATAGTGTCATCTCGACCAGGTTGCTCTGGAACTCAGGAGAAGCTCTGGAGCTCTCTGGCAGCCGTGGTTTTTAAGGTGCTGTGGGAAGAGAAGCCTGTAGGGCAGTGTCATGGCTGGACTTAGTCCTGGGTCATTTTCTTTGCTGCTTGTTTCCTTGGGTCCTTTTTTTTTTTTTTTTTAATTAGTTTGCTGTTAACTTGTAAAGTCTGTTTGTTGGGGTTTATTTCTACCATAGAAGATGGTTGAGTTGAGGGTATTTATCCAGTCTCTACCTGTATGAAGCCTCGTGTAAAGATGAATGCAGTTCACGTACTTCAGAATATTTTTAGTAGAGTGAAAGATTTCGCACGTTAAATTTCACATGTTCTGCTGGAGTCCTTCATACAGGCTTAGAATAAGTTAAAGAGGTTAAAAAATTTTTAGACAACTGCCATTAAAGGTACAGTTCATTTGACTAGAGATGAGATGCACAATCACTCCCACAGGCTTTTTATAAATTTGGGTGAACTATTGAAATCTTAAAAGGCAGTCTAGCTGGTGTCGGTGGCTCACACCTGTAATCCTAGTTACTCAGGAGGCTGAGATTTGAGGATCATAGTTGGAAGCCAGCTGGGCAGGAAAGTCCAAGAGACTCTTCAATTAAACACTAACAAAACAAAACACCAGAATTGTAACTGTAGTTCCTAAATCTTGAGTTCAAGCCCCAGGACACTGCCACCCTCCTCTCCCCACCCCCGTCTAATTTTCCATTTAAATTGAACAAAGTTCAATTTTTAAGCATTGCATTTGTGTTCCATTAATATAAAATGATAGGTTGTCATAGCTTTATGAATTTTAAGTTTTCATTTCTATAACACATATAAAAGTATGTTTCCCACTTCAAATCCTATGAACAAATTTTGTAGGAACTGTTTTTATGAAGTGTCAAAGTGAATGATAATAAACTATGTGTAATAATAATTACTGAAAATACATGTAACTTTTCAGCACTGGGGCTTGAACTCAGGACTTTGTGTTTGCTAGACTGACACTTTACAACACTTCAGCCACACTTGTAGCCCCAGGGTTTGGTTCTGTTACCTCAGCTAGAGTGCTGGATTATAGGCTTATACTACCTTAGCTAGGACTGATTACTCCTTTTGGAGAATGCCTTAAATACCAAGAAGATTTGTTTAAGCCTTATTATGTTTGACTAAATTCTGTAAGTAGTAAGAGTCTTGCATATAGACTATTCAAAAATCTTGAAGATGTTGGCTGGGTGCCAGTAGGTGGCTCATGCCTGTAATCCTAGCTACTCAGGAGGCTGAGATCTGAGGACCATGTTTCAAAGCCAGCTGGGGCAGGAAAGTCCATGAGACTCTTACTCCAATAAACCACTCAGGAAACCAGAGGTGGCACTGTGGCTCAAGTGGTAGAGGGCAAGCCTTGAGCTGAAGAGCTGAGGGACAGCACTCAGGCCCAGAATTCAAGCCCCACGACTGAAAAAAAAAAATCTTAAAGATGCTTTCCAATTATCCATGGAAATTATGCTCCTTTCAGAAAATATAGAAAATAAGTAGTAGTGGCTTAAAATTTAGATTATGTTATCTAGCTTTGCATGTGTACTCTCATAGAATTTTCATTTATAATCTCATACAGTTTAATTTGCAATTAAATAGGCAGTGTCAACAACCAGAGCACTTTTAACTATGTGAGCAAAGCAGTAACAGATAACCGAGAAAATTCTTTGTTGAGGTAGAATTTGAAATGAGAAATCCAGGAAATTACTTTTATTTGTGTTTTTCTGTCCAACTGTTGAAATTGAAATGAAAAGCAGAAGTCATGAGTTAAGTGGAGGAATAAATTAGAAAAAAAGATGTTTACTTTGAACCTTTCTTGAAATACTTTCAGGAGTACAGACTTCAGGTAGAGCCAAAAGTAGCTTGTTTAAGTTGTTTAGTGTATAAAGTCCAAGCTAGAGCCAAGCAGTCTCTTGGTGATTAGCCAGACTTTGGGTCACCTGGCTTTGTGAACTAATCAATTTTGTTTGTTCAGCAAACTGACTTGGCGTCTTCTAGATTTTGGCTTTTATATTGGAACATGGCCCTTATGTTGGAACCTAAACAAACCCGTTTACAGTAGAGCAAAATAGATAAGAAAACTAAATAGGTAAATACAAATATAGGATGATCACAGAAGGTTCCTCTGAAGGTACTTAGGGAGTAAGCCATTCAGATCATTGGTTTCTTGGTCCTTTCCAGCTACTATACAAAGTGTAAGTGCTTGGATAGCTTTGTAACAACAGAAGATTGTTTCCCATAGTTCTGGAAGTGGGGGAGTCAAGATAGGTGCTGGTACTAATCCCACTCACAAAGGCTTCATTCTTAGAACCTGTTCATTTCCCAGCTGCCTCTTAGTATTATCACTCTGAGGATTAGATTTTCATGTATGAATTTTGAAGAGATTGAGACCATAGCATGGAGGAGTAACATTCAAAGAAGAATGCAAAGTAAGTAGAGAGGCCTTGAGGTAGAAGCTGTTTTAATGTGTAAGGAAGGCAGCAAGACAGCCCATGTTGTTGGTGCAGTGATGGGGGGTAACAGTAATAGGAGATATAGGACTTCTAAGTTGTGGGGAAAGATCATGTAAGACTTTGCTGGCCATTTTAAGGACGTTGGCCTTTACTTACAATGAAGTTGAACATCCAGTGGAGAAAGGAGTATTGATCAGAAGAGATACATAGTTTGACTTAAATTTTAAACTGATGACTTCATTAAGGACAGTTTATAAGGCATTCTTAGAGGCATAATTACAGTGTAGAATGGAGACTAGACCTAGACAGTAGCATTGATGGTGCAGAGTGGTCAGATTCTGGATTTAATTTGATCATAGAACTGACAGGATTTTACTGAGAGAAAAAGATTTTGAAACTAGGAAGGATGCCGGTGTCAAATTGGTGAGGTCTCTCCAAGTCTGGTTGAGCAAAAATCAGGAATTTGGGTTTTGGTCATGCTGAATTTGCAATGTATGCCAAACATTAAAGTGGAATTGGCCTGTGGACATTTGGTTGTTAAGGCCAGAATTCCCACAGAAGAGTTTGGAACATAAAGATAGAATTTGAGATTGTTATGGTCCAGAGTTCCCACAGAAGGGTTTGGAACATAAAGATAGAATTTGAGAGACTCTGGCAGTTAGGTAATTTGAAGCCACATAAGTGGATATGTTCACATGTGAGTAAATCTAAAGGCAAAGAAAAGAGGTTTGTAGCTAAGCCTTTGAGAACCAGTCAGGAAGATGCTGATGAACCAGTAAGAGAGATGAAAAATAACTGATTTCTGCGAACTGGAATTAACGGTGGAAGTACTTGGGTACCTCAACAAGAGCTATTTCATTGAAGTGGTGAGATCAATAGTGTGGTTAGATTAAGTTCTGGAGAGAATAAAGGGGAAGAATTGAGATGGTTGTCTTCTAATCCACCAGGTCTTGGCTCTCAGTCATTCCCTAAGCTCTATAATTGGAGTAACTGATGACTTTTAGAATTTGGATCAGGCTGCCTCTTGGCTTTATGACTTTGGGCAAGTTAGTTGCCTTACTTTTAGATCAGACAGTACACAGCTAAATATTTACTGAGTCAAACAATGTAAATATCATAAGTAAACGACACTATAATTCTCCAAACCAGTGCTTGCTTGACAGTTAATTCAGTAAGTCACATTTGTATATGACCTTTATAGCCTTCATACAGAAAAATATAATCTTTTTGTATGTTTTTTAAGTTGACTATAAAGGAACCAACTAAACCAACCAGATTGGGACCTAGAAAGGGTCTCAACAGTCTTAAGGAGACAGGTAAATACAGATGACCTGTCAGTTCCACCTATTTTTAGGATATCCTGATTATTCATAGGGCAGTTCAGTTTGGATATTGTATGTTTTCAGAGATGAGATGAGGAGAGATGGGAGGAGTGTAGGAAAAAGAACAAGTTATTCAAAGATCTTTTATAAGTAACTTAAATGCTATGTCCCTACATAATACTTGTATTTTGTGTAATGGACACCTTTATTTCTTGTGGACTCAAGAAGCTATTTTTTTATAAATGGTAAAAATTTAGGATTTGGGGATAATCTTTTGGTGTCTCGGCTTTCTTATATAGTACTTTGTACAGTACTCTAGTCAATAATAAATACTTGATTCTTATTTTAAAAATGAGTTGATCATCAAATTTTGTAGT